TTGATCTCATTTGCAATGCTTCATAATATATTTAATTAAATTACACTTTTATGCTGATGCAGAGAGTTTAATCTTGTGATACAGGTCTCAAGAAAGCTGTTCATATGGTGGATTTTCAGCTTTTTGAGAATTCTCCGCACTGGTTTTCATAAAGGTTGTACTAGTTTGTCATTCTACCAACAGTAAATGAGAATGTAATGACCAATAACAAAAAAGAGGCCATGAATCTGAAAGAGAACAAGGAAGGAGAGGTATAAGGGTTTATGAGTAGGAAAGGAAAGAGAGAAATAATATAATTATGATATAACTCAAAACTAAAAGAAGTAATAAAATATAAAAAAATAAAAGAAGATTGTTCTAGAAAAATACATTGCAATATTTTTCCTTAACTGATTCCAGGATGTGAGATAAAACAATATGCACACTACTTAAAATATTCTAAAAATTTACAGTCACATATTTATTACACACTAAGGGATAAAACATTAGGAATAATTTAGCTTTGACAACACAGTTCCTAATGTTGTAATGTCATCCTATGTTAAAGCTAGATATAAACAATTTAGAGGATCATAATGATACTACATAGAATGGATTATCTGAATTGAAAAAAGAGAAAGATTCTTTTTTAAAAAACATAATCTTCATCAAAATGCATCATTCAAAAAGAAATCACAATCCAGTAAAGAGCTGTTGGGGGAAAGATCAAATTCAGCCCACATACCTTAGGAAGAATAGGAAATAGCCCAACTGGGCCACTGCAGGCCAAGTCTCATCTTTAGTTTATAGGCCAAATATATTTTGTTCATCAAAAGTTCTATTTGATCCAGTGCTAAAGGCTTTAGAAACAAGAACCCAAAGTGAAGACCCTAAGCATTCAGCATAATTGCCTTAGCAGTTAGAGCTAACAGGCAGAGTCCTATGTAAAACAGTCTTCACTGAGGTGTAAAAACCTGTAGGCAAGACTAACAATGAGATTATCTGTAGGTAGGTGTTAATGAGGTCATTTGGGTAGATGAGGTTTCAACAGGGCATCTTTATATGCTAGTGAACTTGGCTTACTGTCTTGCTAGAGATGTGAAAATTTAGTACTTTGATGGTAAGAAAATTAAAAAGCTGTTAAATATACCAGGAATATTTGTTAAAGAGAAAAAGCACCCATTTTATAAATAAATTTAAAGGAAAAAATTAAAACATGTGGAAACTTTCTCAAATTAAAACCCAAAAATATAACATCTGAAGAAAACTTGAACGTGAAAAGCGTTAGCATTTTTGAAGATGAGGCTCTCTCCCTCTCATACTGTTATCCCATAAAGCCCAGAGTCAGTTTTTTTCCCTGAAGAAGTCAATGTAATAAAAGAATATTACATTGTTACTCCTAGTAAATATGCAACTTATGGACCCTAAAGGTTTAACAACAAGAAGTATGTAAAATTTTAAATCATAATTTTCAGGTAAATATGATCTAAGTGTGTGCAGCTACTACCCAGTATTGCAATGAATCGGCAAACTCATATATTTAAAATTTAATAGCAAATGGATAAAAAACACACCTGTGCTACACTATTATGCAGTTAGACATATACAAAGTTCAGAGGATAGTAAATGCCTGATGGGTACTAATAAGCCAAAGCACAGGAAACACTTATATGAAATGTATTTGTAGTGCACATTTTGACCCAATTTCATAAAACTATAATACATGGAAGAGAGTGGTATGACAGAGAGCTTGTCCGTGTTTAATATCAATTACATAGTATTAAAAGGTAACTAGAGCTTTAATCTATATTCGGTCCTTGTGACCTTTCTCCCCTGAAATACTTGAAAATTTACTTCATTAAAATTTGTTAATCAACCCAAAGAATTACTATTTCAAAGCAACAGAAAAGAGTAAAACCAATTTGTCAATTTGAAACCAATTCCTGAAGATTCTGGCAAATTTTACAATTTTTATTTGTAGAAATTGAACCACAGATATATGTGTGATATTAAATTAATACATTGATAGGTATTATGCAGGGGTTCTAAAACTTAAAATGGGTCCCTTGATTCACATCTTAGTATGAATGCCAGTTATGTGAGGGGCCAAGGATTGTGGCTGGCTTTAAGAAGTCCTTTTATCCTTTCTGTGAGTTTTCTCCTTTCAGCCCACCAGAAAACCTATAATGACTAGAATGAGTCACAATCCACAATACAGAATTTAAAACTTTAATTCTAAAAGAATTTTTTTTAGATTAAAAAATAAATTTTAAATTTTAAAATTGATTCTAAAAGAAAGCCATATGCATTACACAGGAATAATAAATAGCCCTTGTTTGAGCTTGTTTCTTGGCTTTAAACTGCATTCTATAGTCATTTTAGATTGGAGAAAGTTCATACCAAGTAGCAATTATTGATAACAAGCATGCACTTAATATTTCAGTAACATTGGCTTTGGTTGTGAAGCCAAGAATCATCCTGTTGTCATTTACCAAGTGACTAAGTATTAAGTAAGAAGCAAAGCAGTTGTGCTGAGTCTCTGGCCCATGCTCTACCAAGTTCCTGGACACCCTTTCTAAGCAGCCACCATCAACACAGTTTCTGTCTGAGAGACACACAGGACCACTCCAAACTCCAGCTCAGTCAGGAACTCAAGGTATCCACAGATAATTTGTCACAATTTAGGAAAGTCCAGTAGACTGATGATCACAAACTTGGGCTGCATATTCTGTCTTGCTCTTGGTGGATTATGGGGTACTGTCTTGGGATTTCTATTGCTGTGACAAAACACCATGACCAAAAAGCAAGTTTGGGAGGAACAGGCTAATTTGCCTTTCATTTCCACATGCTGCTCCCCACTGAAGCAAGTCAGGATAGTATCTCGAAGGCAGGAGCTGATGCAGGGGCCATGGAGAGTAAGGCTTACTGGCTTGCTTCCCCTAGCTTGCTCAGCCTGTTTTCTTATAGAACCCAGGACCAGCAGCCCCAGGATGACACCAACCCCATGAGCTAGGCTCTCCCTCGTCCATCACTATTTACTGGCTCTCATGGAGGTATTTCCTCAACTGAGACTCCTTCCTCTCTGATGACTCTAGTTTGTGTCAAATAGAAGCACAAAATGAGCCAGTATGTGTATCACTTTCATTTTTAAGGATTTTATTTTAATTATGGGGGACACCTGAGTGCAGACAGGGATGCATCCCCTCGAGCTGGATTGAAGAGAGGTTGTAAACCAGTTGATAGTTGATATGGGTGCTGGTGACCAAGGGTTGACCAGCAGGGAAGACCATAGGTTTTTCTGCAAGATCGGGCAGGTGCTCTTAGCCACCAAGTCATCTCTGAAGCCCCAAGCATGTGTCATTGTCATTCTGTGAATATGAAACCTTAATTCCATAGATTTATCTTCAGCAGACTAGAGAACATGATGTCTTAAAATAATAAAAACTATTATCAGGAAATCCAGTTCAGTCCTCACTGTAATGAAAACTTTTCTTAAAGAAAAATAGTGTTACCAATATGGAACACTGTCCCATTTTCCAAGGTATATTTTCCTTTCAAATTTTATTCCTTTGTGTGTGTGTGTGTGTGTGTGTGTGTGTGTGTGTGTGTGTGTGTGCCAATGAGTGCAGGTGGAGGTCAGAAGACAGTGGCGGAGCCTCTTCTCTCTTCCTACCACATGGGTTGCAGGGATACCTTGGCCCAGTGAATCATCTCATCAGACCTACAGACCCCCTCCCCCTTCCTTTTAGAAGAAATTTGGATTGATCACTTCTTTTCAAGGTGAGGATATAATTATATTGAAGTTTACCTTAGATGTATCCATCTCAAAATATGAAGAGAACAGTTATAAATTTTTCATATTTTATACTTTCATGTAAATTTACTCACAGCAGTTCAACAAACATAACCACCATTTTATTTATTTATTTTGCTTTTTGTTTTCTCCAAATATTATTACAAGGAGAGGCAAACGTTTCAGGATTAAAGTGGATGCTACTTCAAGCATCATCACAAATGTTATAGGTACAAAAGCCATTATCCATCCTCCATACTCGGTTTCCAGGAGATAATACTCTATTTTTATTTCTCCTTCTGGGTTTGTCTAAGGACAGAAGAAAATTTGAAAAACCTTTTAATAAATAACAGTGATTCACAATAATTGGAAACTCTAATTATAAAAATATCTTCTAACACATATACTATGAAATCATGTACGTCTTCATCAGAAAGAAAGAACATTGATTATTTGTTTATAATTCTTATTTAAATTGAATTATAACAACTTTGAGTTAGAAATAGAATATACAGGATAGTAAAAGTAGATTTTGAGTGAGTAAATTTAGGAATACTCTCACTACTAAGACTATATAGATCCATCCATTCATAAGGAAGCAAGTTAAAAATCTTAAATACATTTAATGATTCTGAAGAATACAGGAAGGGCCCATACTGAATAGAACCACACAGCAGCTTTATATAAAGTCCTTGCCTGGCTGGACACTTCAGCTTTACTATTCAATTTCTGGGCTACCTGGTATACATGCTGGGTCACAAAAGCAATTTTCATTGAGTCTTATAGTCCAAAGAGAACAGGCAAGCCCCTCCCCACTCATGTTTCTATGGCAACTTTCAGAACAGGATGTAGCAAAGTCTTGCTAAAACATATTCAACCCATCTATCATCTACAGCATTCATTTTTATCATGCCTGCACTCTCTCATCAAGTTATTCCTACATTTTCAAGAAAAGTGTGCTGGTGCTATAGACTTTACATACAAGGTGGACTTTAAGGACACCAACTTACAGAAACCGTGGCCTCTATGTCTGATGAACCATGATTGAAATGGAAAAACTCAGGAACCAACAGAAAGCTACACTTGTACCTTAACCTAACTTGGCCCTTCATGATTGGTGTCAATGGAAGGATTTGGCTTACAGGGAGTTTCTGGAGCTTTGTGAGGTAGGATTGAATCCATGGCTTTGCAATTAGCTGCTGGGTCTCTAATAGCCCAATGAACTTACTGCAAATGTGCTCTGAGGATGCCCATCACCAGGAGAGTGGACACAGGCACATAATTTTGTTTCTGGAGGCAATTCCTAAATTAAACAAAGAGAATCAGTAGTTGGCTTTTTTCTCTTCAAGCTTAGGGCTTGTGCGAATAATATGTATTATCAGTTAATTTTTTAAAAAAATCTTGGTAGGTTAACACAAATAAGACTATTGTAGCTTTGGTTCACAGATGATACTCATAGATTTATAATATTTGGTAGATGTGAAGTTCAGCAGTGAAATTATAATAAATGAACCAATGAGAAAAACTATCCTGATTCCCTTTCTTTCCCTCCTAAGCTGAAATCACTGTCATTATTTACAAGTATTTTATAGATAGCTATAAATAACACATGTTTTTAGCATATGATGCTATTTGTCCTTACTTATCTCCAGTGCATTTTAAAATGCTAATCAATGACTTCTAATCAGTTATAACCATTGTCAAAGAACAGGACTTCCTTGATATAAGCTGTGAGAAAAATAGCAGTCATCTCTTTAGCTAAACTGCCTTGATTGTGCCGTACTGTGCTACTGCTATTCCCACTTAAACACATCTAAGACTGTGGAGAGCTCATCATAATATCTGTTAAAACCTGTTGAATTTTCCCATTTGCATGGAAAACTACTTTATGTCAAAAGTAGAGTTTGCATTTTATCTGTAAAAGCAAAGTGATTATTTATTGATAAAATGGTATAGAATGTCATTTTTTTTTTTGCCTAAGTAGCATCAGGTATTTCAAAGATTTTGTCTGAAGGGCAAAAGGATTACATTGCATTTGAATAGACCATGTGACAACACATCCTTAGACTTCATGTATGATATGAAAGGATGATCCCCATTCATAAGATCCACAAGGGAAATGATAATTGTACCAGGAAAGAAGAAAAGCAAGAAGGGCTGTGGTGAGGGTGTCAGGGGGTATTTGTAGTAGTTTGATGCATGTAAATATTACATCTTATAAATAATTCTTTTCAAATACATCTCTGAAGTTCAGGGGCTCTGTTGAAGAAACGGATTGTATATGCTTTAGCTGACTATATGTCACTTTCTTCAAGATAGCGGCAACATTAATTCAGACAGGAGAAAACTGGCTTCCAAAATATCCCTTTCCTTCTATTTCTTGTGAAGGAGTATGTCACCTGATGCTGGCAGATGAGGACTAGGGGGGTGCTCAAGTTATACTTTACTGTCAGAATCCAGCAAGCACGTTTTCATCTAAATTATTTTGTCAACAGCCTTGTAGTGCCCTTGCTAACCTTATTTGGCACCAGTGCATAATTAGATACACAGGGGTGTGACTCCAATTGAAGGTGTTGGCATTGTAGCACTCTGTGAAAATATTAACTATGAGGTTAACTCCAATTTTCTCTTCTTTAATTAAATGCACATGGTACTAATGAGGTAACCTACTGTTCCTTGATAGCACTAATTAGCTAAGAGGAGAGTACACTCTCACACTGCAATTTAAACCTAAAAATAAGGTTGAAATATGCTAATTGCAGGCAATTTAAAACAGTACAAGTTGAAGAACTAGTCATAATAAGAGAAAGTGACTGCTTTCCAGCTAGGCAGCTGTAACTTTGGTTAAAATCAAAACAAGCCACACAATTTTTGGACTGCTATTTAACAAGGTCATAAGCATCCTTAAGAATGAGATGTTAGTTCATATAATGACAATATACCAGACCACCACCACTGAGCAAAATCCACAGAAAGGTACTCTTCCTGAAGAGACCAGAAACAAATCTCACAAGAGCTCTGAAGCGACAATGACACCGTATTTAATACTGAAAATTAAACTCCATAAATAAGCTGTATCACCTTTTCTTCAAGAACACCCAAATTAATGAAAATATTATAATTGGTACCTCAGAAATCAACAAAGCAAGTGGAGACGCTGACAGTGTGTTATCCCATTCTGGTTAAGGAGAGATGCCGAGAGGAGGAAGCCTTATCCCTTGAGGACCACATGAAGTTATTAGGAGATGATGTATAATGATGAAAATACTTAAAAGGTGCAGAAACATGAACATCTGTGATCATCATTTCAGGGATACAGGTGCTTAAGGATATTTGCTCAGACTTCTACTGTTTTGAACTAATGGTGGAGGTTTCCTGAGGCTTCACTAAGAGAGAACAGTGTTCCCATTCTTAGCCACAGTGACCCAGACACACAATTTCCTTTAACTCAAGCATAATACTAATGCACCTTCTTTAATAATCCTCTCCAACATTCATTTTGCAATTGTGATTTTAACTGATGAACTTAGAGAGCTGCCCTGAAAAGCAAGAGTTTGAAGGAACCCCTGAATCATTTATATATATATATATATATATATATATATATATATATATATATATAACCATTTGATTGGTACAAAGGATATTTTGATTCTCTAAAATCCATAGTATGTCTTATATTTTCAGTGATCAACTTAGGTAAATAAAACCACTCATGCCAAGTTACTCCTGAAAACACAAAGAAAAGGGAAGCTGAATAAACTATTATTAATCTATCCTTAGGACCACAGGAGAGAGTTAACTGTGTCATGGGTTAAAGGCAACAGTTTTCTCTTTTTTGTCACTTTGTATGTAAATTTATAAATATAATAATTAAGCAATCAAAAGTATTGAGCAAGCATTAAAAATATAGTCTAAGAAAGCAAAATCTGAGAGATGTTCAACTGATCCTTAGACTGAAGAAAAACTTAAGAAGAAATGCATCCTGCTGTTGGATGTCTTTCTGTATGCTCTGAAAATGTATTGCTCTGATTGGTTGATAAATAAAGCTGTTTGGCCTATGGCAAGTCAGGTTATAGCTAGGCAGGAAATTGAATAGAGACAGGAAGAAGAAGCGCAGGGCGAGAGAGACGCCAGTACCACCAGGAGAAGCAAGATGTGAATATACCAGTAAGCCACAGCCACATGGCAACTTATAGATTAATAGAAATGGGTCAAGATATAAGAGCTAGCTAGCAAGAAGCCTGCCATAGGCCATGAGATTAGTAATTAATATTAAGCCTCTGAATGATTATTTTATAAGTGGCTGTGGGACCTTGGGGCCCGGGGAGAACAGAGAAACTGTCCCACTACAACAACCCATTTGAAAAGCAAAAACTTGTAAGCAACTAACTCTCAAGGAATAATTCCTGGAGTTGAAAGTGTGTTAAAACAGACTTTTCACAACCCTTAGCCAGTCATCATATCTTGCCAATAGGTTTAGGAAAGAAAACTGTGCTTTGAAAAAAAATCCACCCACTCTCACGACTGCCCTAACAGTTTATCCTACAGAGGGAGACAGAATGTTGGCACGAGATGCTAATAAGCATTTGATCAGCCAGGCTTGACCAGACCCAGGAAGCTGCAGGTTCTTAAAGAACCAGGGAGACGAATGAAATCAGACAGGCACTTAGAAAGCAGTCTCCTAGAGGCAACCTGACACAGTCCAGCAAGTCGCAGGGAAACCCAATGCGAACGGATGTTTTAAGTGTTCGCATCTGTTTCCAATAAGCACCCACAGCGAGAAGGCCAGGACAATGTACTGGAAAGGGCTTTCAACATGAACTTCAGAAGAAATCTAGTCTTCAGCTAAATATGGATCATTGTTCAAAATAAGGATATTGGCTCTGGAGACAGTCTGTCGGGGTTCAGATACGGATTCAACACTTAGCAGTGCTGTGACCTTGACTACAGCATTTAACTTTTCCTGGTCTTTTTCTTCAGAAGGTGGTAAAGAAACACTGTTACAGATTTGTTAAACACACAGAATGGTAAAGTACAGGTAGTAATGGTAGCACCCGTAAATTTAAAATTATTAGCTATGTACTTCATATATATATGTATATATATATTATATATTAGCTATGTACTTTATATAGATCATTGCTGCAGAATGGCACTTAGTTTCCTTCAAATAAAAATTACTGGTTCTCTTATATGTAAAATACCATTATACATTATAAATGGTACAAAAATCAAGAAGACATTTTACTGTAATCAAATGAATATACCAATTTTCTATCAGTAGACTTCAAAATAGAAGACAAAGTCTCTTCCACATGAATGCATATATATATATATTATCTGTAGAAGTCTGGCATAGCAAAGCAAAAAGCTAATATGGGTAGATATATGAGTGTCCTATTGCAAGATGAAATGACTTGTATGAAAGACAATATATTTTGAAAAGTTTACAAAGATGTCTTTTTCTAAAAAAACAGAAAACAAGTAAGTATGATTATATTGATCTTTCCCAGCAGATGAAATTATTTTAAATTATAATTTGAAGTTGAACTGAAGGCTGAACACATTTTTCTTTAAGGTGTGTGAGACTCCACATCACATTATATTTTAGGCATAATGGTATGTGGAAGGCATACTGTTCTCCACTTTGAGGTTACTAAAGAAATCAAGCAGCATTGTAAAAGTTCCATACTTTAAAACAATATAAAATATTATTCTATGAGTGGATTTTATCCTATCTGGTGAATTGGTTTGTTTACCTGCTTTGGCTCTCCATCTTGCCTAATGGAAGCTGTCCAGGGGCACTGGGGGCATAGATTTATATCAGGATGACACGTGTGAACTTTATAAAAGCCATACTATTTCATCCTTCCCTAGATATCTCTGGAAAACGGATAAAAAATTGCCTAGGTCAGACAGAGGGGATAAACAAAAGAATATTGATGTGTGGATAACATCAATTTTGAATATTTCATAAAGGAAGTGTGTTAGATGAGTTGGCATATATTTTGGGTCAGCCAAGAGAATGTAGAGACTATGTACCCCAATTAGTAAACTAGCATAGGCAGACCCCTTAAAAATTTTTCACTCTTCGTTCTGACGGAGTAGTTTGTGGTGCTTTATTTCCTTCTATGGCACATACAGACTCCAAAACCCTTACAATTTTGAAAAGAATATGGCACAACTATTAAAGAAACCTTCTGCAGAAGATGAAAGTAAATTCTAAGCAGGACAAATTAAACAGTAAGCAGCTGGCATTACTGAAGAGACATGCTTTTATTTGTTGGATTGTTTAAGGGC